CTCCTCTTTGTGTCTCCTCCTGCTGGTCTCTGAGGTGCAGATGTCCTCAGACGGATCAGGGACCAGGAATCAGTCCTGGTTCTGGTTTAAAAGAATAAAACCTTGCTTGTGAAGACTGGGGTCCAAACAGCAGCAGGTGGACCTGGTCCTTCAGATTTACCCAGCATGCACGCAGCAGCAGAGGGACACTTCCTGTCTGTCTCCAGTCCTCCTGAAGGACAGGTTCTGTGGACCTGGAGCCGGTTTGCTCCAGTTGTGCAGTAAAGCCGGGCCTGGCAGGAGGACGAGCAGCTTGTGGTGCTGGTAAGAGGGGATTTCTGGGCTCAGAAGTAAGACCGGATGAGAATGATTAAGATGTTGGACTCAATAATGACTATAGCTACATGTTTCATGTGGCTGCTCGCCGTCTCACGGGCCACGCTTAGAACCAGGAGGTTCTGATGATCCAACAGAAGCAGGTTCCTGAAACTGAGCCTTACTGGGACCTCCTCTCCCTGCAGCTACAGGAACACAGCACCAAGCTGGGAAGAAGCTGTAGCTGCCTGTCAATCTGACAAGGGTCAAAGGTCATTCAGAGTCCATCTTTCTACAGAGAGAAAGATTATTCACCCTGAAGGTCAGACCGTGCAACTATCTATCTCTACATGCCACAGTCTGCAGATTAAAGATAAAACCTAGTCTCTAAACCAACATGGCTGCAGGACTTGGTTTCATCTGAAGGAACCACAGGAGCTCTGGACCAGAACCAGACCACAGCACAGGTGTTTACCCAGAATGCACTGCAGCCAGTCTGCATGTGGAGCAGGTAAATCCAAGCATTGATCAGTTTAACTTCATATGTTAACTTCACTGTCAGAGTTCAGGGGTCCAGACTCTGAGGCTCCAGGTCTGCAGGTCAGGTCTCACCTGTTCAGGCTGTAATAGTTTTAGTTGGGATTATGAGCAGAGCTCAGCTGAAGGCCAACAAACAAACCTGCAGAAAGCTGTTAATCCCTGAGCTTTAGAGGAAAAGCTCAGGAGATCTGGTATCTGTAGACAGTCTGTCACTTCCTGTACCGCGATCATACCTGGTGTTCCCCCAACACGCAGATTACCCATTTATACTGGGATATACCCATTTATACTGGGATATACCCATTTATACTGGGATATATCCATTTATACTGGGATATATCCATTTATACTGGGATATACCCATTTATACTGGAATTACCCATTTATACTGGGATATACCCATTTATACTGGAATTACCCATTTATACTGGAATTACCCATTTATACTGGGATATACCCATTTATACTGGGATATACCCATTTATACTGGGATATATCCATTTATACTGGGATTTACCCATTTATACTGGGATTACCCATTTATACTGGGATATACCCATTTATACTGGGATATACCCATTTATACTGGAATATATCCATTTATACTGGGATATATCCATTTATACTGGGATATACCCATTTATACTGGGATATATCCATTTATACTGGGATATATCCATTTATACTGGGATTACCCATTTATACTGGGATATATCGATTTATACTGGGATTACCCATTTATATTGGGATATATCCATTTATACTGGAATTACCCATTTATACTGGGATATACCCATTTATACTGGGATATACCCATTTATACTGGGATATACCCATTTATACTGGGATTACCCATTTATACTGGGATATATCCATTTATACTGGGATATATCCATTTATACTGGGATTACCCATTTATACTGGGATATATCGAT